ATAGGTTTTACAATATAGTTCATTCATTCAGTGTAGAAATAGAGTATAACAGATTATAAAAAATATATGATGAAGGAACAAGCAAGTAAATCCAAGAAAATTACTATAAATTATACAGTTTTGCCAGTGGCGGCGCGTCAATAGGGCCAACGGGGGCAATGCCCCGGTTGTTTTTTCGGTATAATAAAAAATATTCGAAAAATACCTCAATATCGGTTGCACAGACTGTCTGCACTAGCCATATTCTCCCGACATGGTTCATTTTTCGCTCGCAAAGCCTTCGCCAAACGTCGACGGGGCGACGCCGATTTTGCCCCGGTTGCTCATTGTATATCGTATTCTCTCTTTTATCTTCCACTCGCCGCGTTTGTCTCGTTTGTTTTCTGTTTCTTTTACTAAATCATCGGGGCTAGCCCCGAAATTATGACGACACAATGCCGACGTTTCTTACAACAACGTGTTGACATATTCACGCATTCCTTCTCGTTCGTTGGTTGCTTGAAGAGTTGATAGTTTCCTCGCCTTCGTTTTTGTCGCTTGTTTCGCTATTTGAATCAGTTAGAGACCTTTAGTCCATTTGCTTTCGATTTTCCACATTCCTTTTGAGCTCCTCACTTCTTTCCGGCTTCGCATTTCTTAGCCTTAGACCTCATAATGAATAAGGTTGATGCACTACTTCGCACTCCGTTTTCGCAGCTGCCGCTGGAACAAAAATTAGAGGTAGGCTACAACGTCTTGGGCCTTATCAACCAAACAATTGTTCACTGGAACAATCCCATGACGGAGGAAAGCGTCGGCGTACATTCTGCGCAGAAACTTGGTATAAAAAACACGAATGGTTGTGTTACAGCGAGGACAAAAATGCACTCTTTTGTTTTTATTGCCTACTTTTTGCTACCGCCCGTGACTCACGTTGGTGTAAATTTGGTTTTAGAGATCTTAAACATCTTTCCGAGCGTGCCAGGGATCATCAATCTTCTATGGAGCATCTGGACAATGCAGTAAAATACCGAACATTCGGAAATGTTAATATTGCAGCACAGTTGGATGAAGGACGCGCGGTTTCTATTCGTCGGCACAACCAAAACGTCGAGAAAAACCGCCATGTTCTCGGTCGATTGATAGATGTTTTGAAGTTCATTGGTTGTCACGAGCTGTCCCTCCGTGGGCACGATGAACGGGCTGGCTCTTCTAATAGAGGGGTATTTTTGGATATGGTGGAATGCACCGCATTCCTAGATACAGTATTGAGAGATCATCTTGATGCCGCAACTGTTTCGAAAGGGACATCTAAGGATATCCAAAATGATTTGCTCGACTCAATGTATAAAATTTATTTACAACATTTGGCTCTGGAAATTGAGAATTGCCAGTTCCTTTCGATTCAGTCTGACGAGACAACTGACATCACGTGCGTTTCCCAACTGGCTGTGATTTTTCGGTTTGTGAAAGATGGTAAACCTACCGAGAGATTTCACAGCTTTGTACCAATCGTTGATCGCACGGCTTGTGGGATATCGGCTGTACTGAAAGAAGTGTTACAGCCTTACAACGCGAAGTCAAAATTGATAGCTCAAACTTATGACGGCGCGGCAGTCATGAGTGGGTCGAAACATGGTGTTCAAGTTTATATAAAAGAAGATTTTCCTCATGCGCATTTTTTACATTGTTATGCACACCAATTTAACCTCGTTATTAAAAATATGTGTCTTGATACCCCTCACGTCCGTATATTTTTTGCAAATGTTTCGGGGTTTTCTTCTTTTTTTTCCGTTTCGCCGAAGCGCTCTGACCTCCTTCGCCAGATATGTAGCCGCCATCTCCCAGCTTGTGCACCAACACGTTGGAACTTCCAATCACGCGTGGTGCAGGGCGTGTCCAAAGTTAGGTCTGAGCTCATTGAGTGTTTCAATGGCATTCAGAGCTCTCCGGTTTGGGACGAACGCTCTGTGAGGGAGGCGGCAGGTCTAAAGCGTCTGCTAGAAGATGGTCAGTTTTCATTTTTCCTCGCTTTTTTCTCCACAATATTCTATCACGTGGATGTATTATACGGCGCATTGCAGTCAAGGCTAATGGATGGAGCGTCTGTGCAGTCGTGTATTTCAGACTTCTGCGATGCTGTATCTCGTATCCGGGAAACAATAAAATACAACGACACATGGAGTGCTTCTTTACGCCGCGGGCAAACAACGCAGCGTTTGATTTTGTCTGCAAAGGAATGCTGGTGAATCAAATAGGCGATCGTCTGCGCACTGAACACCTTGCCGCGTTCTCTTTGATTAACCCCAAAAATTTTTCAAAATTTGCACGTCAATTTCCCATCCATTTGTTGGCTACTGTCTCCAAATTTTACCCCATGATAAACGTGGGTAAATTGGAAAATGAATTGCGATGTATATACACCAATCAAACTTTTTTGAACATCACATCAACTTGCGCGCTCTATGGGTTCCTCATAGATAACACTCTAGTAACTACCTTTGCGGCGTCTGCAAAATTTCTGGACATCATTTTGACGACGCCTATTTCTTCCGCCGACGCAGAGCGAACATTCAGCACGCTGAAGCGCATTAAAACGTATCTCAGAAACACAATGAAGCAAGATAGATTAAATTCTTTGGCTGTTTTATCCATTCACAGAGACGTTATTTCTGGGATGCATGACTTTAATCAGCGCGTTATTGAGCATTTTGCTTCCAAGAAACCGCGGCGTGTTGCATATATGTTCAAGCAGTAGAAGTCTAGCAGCATATATATCTATGAGTGAGCGACGCATGTCCTTATCTTTGCATTATATTTCCTTTCTTCATATTAACGTTTTAAACCTTATTTTAGGTTTTGTCTGCTTTCCCGAAGTTTCTGTTAATATGTCATTGTATTTATCTGGGTAAATATTGCCTTTCCTTTTGAAAGAGGTTTCAAAATAAACTATGTCTATATTTATTAATCCATTGACTTGGACCGGTTTTAAAGACACTTTCTTATCGTTAAAAATTGTCGCTTTTGCCGATTGGTTGTTACCGATGGAATGGTTTTTATACTCATAAAATGATGGGAGAACTTACAGCGCTCATCCTGTCCCCGTAGATGGGGGTGACTTGGTCCCGCAGTAGCTTGCCCCGGTTTTCAAAATGACCACGCGCCGCCACTGAGTTTTGCAGATATTGTGTTGTATAGGAATAAAAATACACACCAGATATATGCTTTTGGGCACAACAAACAAAAACCATGAAAGTAATGGAGCGTCTGAGCTATTTTATTAAAGCTGCCTGGTTTCATCTCCTGATAATAGGGAAGAATTGCTCTCACTGGGCACTACCTCATTGTTATATAGTCAGCCCATAGTCAGATGCGCAAACACCCACCACTTGGTTCGGTTCTAAAGTTATCAGGTGATTATGAACAAGTTGTGATTTATATGACAGTGATAAATGCAAAACAACCTAACAAAATAAGGATATTCATCACACACCACAGTTACTACCAAGTGCAGGGCCAACTTCTGGTATCAGGGGCAGCTTGGTGTGACTTTGCAGTTGCAGTTCCGATTCTAAATCTTGTTAATTTTTTCGTGCTCTTTTATTATTATTATTTATTTTTCTGGTAGGTAGTCGCATACATTTTAAAATCTATTTCAAGTTATGCTCGACATCCACTTTTCTCTGCATTTTGTTTGTATGTTGACTTTTTGTATTGTTTTATGCCAGAGAACCAAACAAAAATGGTGATGCTTGCTTTCATTTTTCTGCTGTCTTACGAAGCGCTGTTTTTTTCATCAGCGGCACTTGAGGTAGTTTCAACTAAAGAGTCTGGGGGCAGATCTGGTTGGATCCCTGACAATCCTTTCTCACTTTCGTCAGATTCGCATGTCTCTGTATCAAATGAAGTATCTGGTGACAGATCCTGTTAAATTATGATCCAAAGTTAAATTATGGTATAAGTAATCCTTACCTCACAATTTGATGGTGCTTTTCTGTTGGGCGACAAGAATCTGATATAGGGTCAGGGTATTCATCAGTTGGTCCATCGCATCCATGAAAATGCATGATGGAACGCGTTGCTTGTATGAAAATTTATTTTATAGAGGAATTAACATATTGAATATATCATATGTATCGAAAACAATATTTATGTTGGCCTACCTTGGTACACACGAAGGTATTTCCGGTGATTTTTCCTAGATTGAATATACTGTGAGTGTGAGGCCTGTTGCATTACTTTATCCACCTCATCGCTTTTTGGCATTCAATATGTGGCTTCGGAAAAGACACAAATCTTACTCCATTTGAACGGCAGGGGTACCGTACAGGTTTTCAGACCGGCAAATACCATATGCGCAGCGTTTACACATAGTTAGTCTACCAAAATATTTCACTAATAGATTCTGTTTAATAAAAATGCAACATCGTATCGAAGACAAATTCTTCCGTACTGACATACGGTAGGCCTCGGTACCCTTGATTGCATCAGCATGACTGTCTACTATTTTTTGGTTCGAAATAGCAGTTGTGACCTGTACAGTACCGTACCTGTAAGGTGCCTGCAACGGGTACCGGTACAGCATTTTAATATAGGATATATATATAGATTTCGTGAACGTGATTTGCAACAAGTAACATACCGGTACAGTATTACAGATTTCTAATTCTCGCAGCCCTGTGAAGAAGAAAAAAAGGGACAAAGATCTGCCTATACCGCCGGCAACCTGCGCGGAACGCGGCCAAAGTTGTCTGAGCGACTTTTCAGCGTAGAATGTTTGTTTACATCTGCTCGCTTGTGATTGGTTGAAAATACGGATGTTTTGATGTCGGGGAAAGGTCCATAGTCACTTTGGGTTTAAGTAGATATAACGTTAATTCCACATGATAAACTAAAATATTGTACATGACTTCGTAAATATACCGTACCGATAATAGCGCCATAAAACCATGACAAGAGACGCCGCGGTACTTTCGTGGCCTGCGCCTTCCCGAAGGGACCGAAGGCCAACTTCTTATTTCAGTATTCGCAAAAATTTACCGGTTAACGTATGCTTGACGGCTTGCTGATTGCATTCTTGTGTGGCTTTTTTGAGAATGATATATATAGTCTAACTGTATAATGATAACCTTAACAACAACAGCAACTCTAGTCGCTATGCTGTAATGTGCAACTGAAAAAAATACGATCGAATGGACATTTCTAGAATTGATAGGGTGGAATGCTATGGTACAGTGGTACCGGTACCGGTATGGTACCGTATTTCTTATAAAAGTCTCTTTTCAAGAAGATGATTCTGTGTTTGTCAATTTTAACTTTAAAAGCTATAAAAAGACTGAGAAAGGCCTTCATTGACGAATCTGCTCTCGCGGGATTTAATTGGTTTGGTTATGGGTAAGCGACTAAGCAAAAACAGAAGACGAGATAGGCCTAGTACACAAAAAAATAAAAGAATCATCGAGTCATACGGTTATAGACAAGAGGATTCTGAACTTGTTCCTCACTCAACTGTTCATCAACAGAATACGTCGGTGACTTGCATAGATGTGTGGGATGGGAATCTTTGCGTTTCTGGAACCTGCAATGGCACTGTTTCGCTCCAGGTATAAATCTATTTTCAGATCTTAGGCACTTATCTGAATTAAATTTATTTGTTACAAATAGCCCCAGCAATGCCAGCAAAAATCTTGAATAATTGTACCGAATGTCATACCGGTATCAAGGTGTGTCCGTGAATTTTAAAATACCAAATAAATTTGAAAATTGTGTAATTTTTTTCATAATATCTGAATATACACCATTGGATAAATGAATAATAAAGAAAATTATTGCACTTGAAAAATGTGTTACCTACTTTTTGAGGGTCTCCTAAAGTTCCGTACCTAACATACTTCTAGTGGGCGTAGCATGATAATTTTTTAACGTGTCAATCTCAACCCCCACCTGACTACACCACACAGTGACGTAATAGGGCCCTTCAAACTATACGAACTGCCATCCAAGACGCGCAGACGAGCACCCGAAATCGAACAGCTATTTTTCTCGTCGCAACGATCTCACTATGAGAGAGATCGATAACGTCAGTCAGTTCTTTATCGTCGACGCCATTCCGGGCGATCGTACGGATATTTGGCAAGCTCTATGACTTGATTGTGATGTCGTAGTGACATGATTCCTGGATAGCATAGCCAGATAGGGGTTAGGATTGACAAAAAATTGTTATACTACGCCTACTAGAAGTACATTAGGTACGAAACTACACGAGACCCCTTTTTGAGATTCGAAAATGGTCAATTTTGTGAAAATTAATTTTTTTCACAAAAAAATTGAATTATTTCATTCTGGGGCAAATTGAGTATAGCATTGAATAGCAGGGGTGTCAAACTCGAGGCCCCCCCCCCCCACTTCCAATGCGGCCCTCGAACGCTCAACAATAACTGTTTAATTTATCACATTTCCATTAGTACAATTAAAAAATATAATATAAGTAGACATTATTAGAAAAAGCTCAGCAGGATATACACTTGCACTGAGGATATACTGTAGTATTTTTCTAAATGTTAGGTCTATATGTTTAGATCGAGTCATTTTTAGTATATGTATTGTTCTTTCCTTATCAAAACTTTGTTCAAAAATGTTTTGGATAGTTGTACATAAAAATTTATGATTTTTTGTAATAAATACAGTAAATTGCAATACTAGTAAAATGCCAAAATTAATATGTGAATGGCATTTAAAAATTTGAGAAAATAACTAAACTTCATTTGGCTGTTTAATTGCATATTATATGTCACAAACTACACCTATCTAAAAATATGCTTCAAGTATGCATTATCGAAATATAACAAAAACTGTTTGCGGCCCTTCGCACAATTCCCAAAATGCAATGCGGCCTTCGAAACCCCGTATGTTTGACACCCCTGGTATAGAGGATAAAATATGAGAAACTATTACAACAAATTGTGGTGACATTTGACAAATTTTCTGAGGTTCAAAAGTATGTCAGTTTTGCGAAAATTGAATTTTTTACAATATAATTCAGTTATTTCTAATTTTACATTTATATATCATATAACAGCTTAATATGAAAACTTATTCTAACAAAAAAATTGTGGTGACATCTGACAAGGTTTTCAAACTATTTGAGGTTCGAAAGTGGTCAGTTTAGCAAAAATTGATTTTTTCACAAAATATCGCATTATTGTAAACTTTTCCGGTCTCAGGGACGAAATTTTGATTATACCATTAGATAGAGGATTCATAAAAGAACTACCATAATTACAATAAAAAATTTGTGGTGACATCTGAAGAGTTCTAGAACTTTTGGAGGTTCGATTGAATAAGGCAAATTTGGCGAGGCTTGATTTTTGTAACGTTTTAATCAGATTATTTCAAACTTTTCCGGTCTCAGAAGCAAAAATTTGAATATACCATTTGATAGAAGACAATTATGAGAAGTTATTGCAATATAGAATTGTGATGACATCTTAAGAGGTTTCAAACTTTTTGAGGTTTGAAAATTGTCATGTGGTGAAAAAAAATTTTCTCACGATGTAGTCGAATTATTTCAAACTTTTTCGTTTTCGGGGGCGAAAATTTGATTATACCATTGAATAGAGCAGGTTCGTCCAACCCGTGGCTCGTGGGCCACATGTGGCCCGCCGAGGAGTTTCGAGTGGCCCGCGCTGTATTTTCGGAAATAAATAAAAAAAAATTTCGTAAAACTTTTATTTTTCAAGTGATGTAGTTAATATAAAGATTTGATACCAAAAATTTGTTCATTTTCCTAAAATGCGCTCTGCTAGCCCTTTCAAACGAGCGATGAGTGCCATTTTTAATCGAAACCAACTGGAAGATATTGATACTTAAATAGTCGCTTACACACTTGGGTCTGCTACTACTCTCTTTAACGTTATCTCATCTGTGAGACAATCTTCTTTTATTTTATCACGTGGTCTCTCGTTCAAATGTAGCACCAACCAAATATTACTTGGTCAAACCTGCTTGGGGCACATATGATAATTGCCAATCCTGTGTGTTTAGGCGTGGTATGTGCATGCATAAAATCCTTGATGTTTTGGCAATGAAGCAAAATATTGATGAGTTGACAACTTTGGATTGCTTTGGCGCTTTGAATCCCCTGTGAGATCACTAATTTCTGACAGTCATATGAAAAATTGGCTTCGCATTGCTACATCGTCCATTTCAGCGAATATTGAAATTTTGCCAAACTTCACACCAAAATATCTATGCGTAGAAATACCTTTGTTGACTCTACAGTATTTTCGTTTTTTTATTGTTCTTATTATTGAGAAAGTTTGATGCAAGGGTTTTGTTTGTTTTTTCATTAACTTTTAGTCAGTGTGGCAAAACTAGAAAATAATTACCATGTTAAGTGGCCCGCGCAATTATTAGTAAACTAAATGTGGCCTGTCGGCCAAAAAGGTTGGCCGACCCTGGAATAGAGGATTCATATAAGAAATTATCCCCCAAAACAAATTGTGGTGACATCCGACAAGTTTTCAACCTTTTTGAGATTCTAAAGTAGTCAATTTCACAAAAATTTAATTTTTATACAAAATATTCGAATTGTTTCGAACTATTCCAGTCTCGGGGGCAAAAATTTGAATATACCATTTAGAGGACTATTATATGAACTTATTCCAACAAAAATATTATGGTGACATCCAACAAGTTTTCAAACTTTTTGAGATTCGAAAGGGGTCGATTTGGCAAAAATTAGATTTTTTTCACAAAAAATCAAATTATTTCATTCTTTTCCGGTCTCTGGGCCAAAAATTTGATTATACTATTGGATAGAGGATTCATATTAGAACTTATTTAAACAAAATAATTGCCATCCAACGAGTTTTCGAACTTTTCAAGGTTCGAAAATGGTCAATTTGGCGAAATTTTGGTTGGCAAAAATTTGATTTCGAGGTTAAAAAATATGGCTCATGAGTAATTCTGACTTTGGTATCATGCATATGTATCATATGATTCGGGACAGTTGGGATAACGTGTAGATGCCGATGTTATTAACTTCTTGTTGTTGTCCAATGTTCTATTTAAATTTGCTAAAGCTTTATAATTGGTTTCAGGACTTCAGTGAGAATATTGTCACTCAAACCTGGAGACATGAGAAAGAGATAACCAAGGTTCGAATACATGATACCAGAATACTGTCAGCCTCGAGAGATAAAACTATCAAAATATGGAAATCTGGCATTGCTGTTGAGCAAGGTATTATGTTGTAAATATTACAAGTTTCATTATTTTTGGTAAGAAATAAAAATTGAAAAAAGGAAAAAATTTATAACCAATCTGCTCAGATTTTCAATATTCTAACTTACGGAGGCATTTAAATTATCTGCAAAATAGTTTAATCAAAGCAGGTCAGTTGCTTGGACATACTTTGGCTGTTACTGCTCTGGACTGCAATAAAGAATTCAGTCAAGCATACTCTGGCTCCAGGGATAACTCTGTTAGACTGTGGGATCTTGCGACAGGAGTATGTACAGAGGAAAACAAAGTAAGCAGGTGAGAATAGTTATTTATACAAGATATTTTAGTTAGCATGAACAAAAATGTCATACAGTTACAACTCCAAATCTTTGAAACAGCCTGAATATCAAAATTGAATTGCCCTATATTTACTTGAAACTGCTTGATACTTTTTTTACATTACAGAAATTTGGTCACTGATATCTGTATTTCTTCCGAACATAATCTAGTCTTTCAGACATCTGAAGATCGTGCTATAAAACTTTGGGACTCCAGAGATCTGCAGGTAAGCTGCTTTGTCGTTTAAGATTGTACTTTTGACTTTTTTATATACTATGCTATAAATCAGGATTGTGGAGTTGGCTTGAACTGGAGACATACCAATATCACTTTTTTCATGGGTAGGGATATTCTGATATACTGAGACTGGTATTATGCAAATGCAAATATCTTCTTGAGTGCATGGGACGAGGGAGAAAGAAATTGATATTTTTGATTTAGAAGCATAAATGCCGTGTCACAAGCTAGGTATAGGGTTAGTTAGCCAGTTCTTAGTTTCAGATACATGGCCATGATGGTGGAAGAAGCCGTTACTGCCAAGTGGTTACGTGAACCACCCTGTGGCGGCGAAGAGTCCAGCAATCCTCTCGCACATAATTATCCCCCACGAATCCCCCAAACCAGTGAAACCTGGCAATCAGTCTTAACTATAAGGAAATTATGAGTGCGAAAGTCTTTGCAGTTGAAAAAAAAGTGCGAGAGTGCTTCTGCCGATTTCAACAAGTTAGGTGCCCTAGTATTTGTTTTAACTCATTTCAAACATATTTTTTCACTGTTGAATTATTATGCAGATTGCAGATACTGTTACATTTTTGAGGCAAATAAACATACATACAATTGCATAGATACTCGAAAATACGCTCATTCAGTTGATATTGCGAATTAAAGAGGAGTCTTTCCGTTTCGTTTCAACTCTTGCTTAAAACAAGCGAATTCATTGGTAACGGAAGGACACCTGCTAAGCACACGTCGCGAACTCAACCACCCGTGTCAGTACTCACTAGCGAAGAGCACTCCTTCGCGTGAACAGCAAAGCCTTGCACACTTTTGTTAATCCTTCCATCTAACAAACAATTATTGATACATGCAGGTTGGTATTGATACTAGTTACTACCGGCCATAGCTGGGGAGGGGGATCATTTGTACAAAGCCCGGGCAAAATGACATCCCCGTCACTGATATCGCTTTCGTATAACACGCTTCCTCGTCCGAAAGAATATGCTTGAAAGTAGTCCGTCCTCTCCCCTTTTAGGAGATGGGTTGACCTTGTGTTTCTCCCCGGCCATTTATTCTTCGAAAGATTACGCAAGATCACCATGAAAGTACCGCTGTTTTGAGAGATAGAGTGACCTACTTTCTATCCGAAGATTTTTTTCCGAAATATCACGCAAGACCACTTTAAAAATCCTCCCTTTCATGAGCTAGCTTGACCTAATTTACGTTTATATTATACTATCTCAGGGATTACGCGAAGAAATGTAATTTTCAAATATTGACTTGCATTGGTTTGCGTGCGAGTTTGTTTAAATAGGGTAGAAAACATCATGATTAAATTGGCAATTTTTTTTAGAAATGCCTTTCAGCATTTGTAAATAGCTATCTCTCTAATGCTACAGACCTAGTATGAAATATTCGCATCTCAACGCCACTTGCAATGTTTCCATATATTACAATTACACTAATAGGAACGATGACACCAAAGATTTTTCTTTTGCGAAGGTACACGAAATACAACAAGGATACTCGAAAAGAAAATGGTGGTTCCCAAATAATTTTGAGTGTGTCGCGAAATACCAATTCATTTGATTTTTATTCGACCACCTGAACGCTGAAATCCTGGAAATTAAAGTTATATAATCGCGATGTATAATCGTTTATGTGCACAAATCTCACATGTAGCATCGGTTAGTTGTGCATGAAATGTAAAGCTCTTATGTGTGTGTTTCAATTTCAATAAAATCAAATTCGTTTTTCCATGCACCATTACTCGTATTTTTATTAGTAATTGCGTCCCGAGTTTGTAAAGTTTAGAAACTTATTGTATATGTATATACCACTATTTTTGATTGGCTAAAAAAAGATACCACGTAACCGCTTTTCGGCAACATGGTATCCGTTTCATATCTGCTTTGAACAAAGAAAAGAATTGTGCCCTCTCAGTCATTGGATCACAATCGACAATTCGTATTCATTTTTATTTTCTCAATTTCGGCAATCGTTATTATTGAGGGTTATCGTCGACTGAAAAATAAATATCGTTCTGTTATTTATATATTTCAGGCCATATTCTTTATATCTCGCCATAATTAGCAAATCTTTATTAAAAAAAACATGATTATAAAATAATTTTGCTTTTCATTTGCTGCTGAATCTTGTGCTATCGCTTGTCAATTATAGCAGAGACGGTGCGTAAGGAACATATTTCAAATTTCGAAGGTTTAAACGGAAATTAGCGACGTTATCAGTGCCAACTAACAGAAAATATCTTATCATAAAATACAATCCAAATTCAGTCGGTAATAAATTTCGCTAAGGTGATGCCATACAGAACAAAAAAGATTTGGTCGCGAGAGTTACGCTAGACTGTAAAACGAAGTTGTTTTTTAAGCAGAAGGTAGAACAATCAAATTTAATAACAAAACGGGGGTTACGGTGCCCGTAACACATCAAGTTCATTCGACATTTCCTTTTTGGTAAGTTGGTTTCTCGATTACAATTACTATTATTATTATTCTTACACACCTGTTTGAGTATTCCGGACAATTTTGAATTCGCGAAAAAGGTTGCACACCCCTGATTTAAGTCATTAAAAAAACTCAGCTCCTGATATATCAGCATTTGGGCCTGCAAATTTTTTCTTGCGTTTGTGAATGCCCCAACATATGTTCTTTCCTTTTGTCTAGTACAACGATTCCCAAAGTGGGGACAAAAGAGATAAGAAACGGGGCGACAGGGGGCAATTGCGCATTCTCGGTAGGTAAAATTAAGTTAAAAACACCGATTGTTTTCCTGACGCGGGTATTTAAGCCGAGAACATCGAAATTATGTCGGTAAACTAAATTATCTCGAAATTTTCAATCGGAAACTATAACTTCTTAGTCCAGCGGTTCTTAAACATTTTGTTTTTGTGGCGCCAGTTTACTGCATTAGAGTTATAATGCTTTTACTTTATCGTATTAAATGGTACTCAGACATTGGGATTTTACAAACGGTGATATCCTAAAATTATCTTAAACCGAAATTCAGATTGTAGTATTTCAGAATAGTGAAATTTTCATTTATTGTAACTCGGCGCAACGGCGATTTACGTTGAAAATAATTGAATTAATATCGCGAGACAATTTTAATGCTCGTATCGGCCATGAACTGAATATTTTACGCAACAGAAAATCATCATCGGTGACAAAGTCGGCAATTTTAATGAATGTCGTAAGCGCGACGACTCGTTTCCCTTGTAAATGTACTGAAAATATAGTAACCGCAAGTCATCTGGCATTTTTGACGAAGGAAACTTGTTGATTCTTTCATTTCTAACATCATATTTGATGGTAGAAAAGGGTCAAATCAAATAATGATGATGACCATGCTATTTCTTAATAAATGATTCGCAATAAATTTGTTTGTAACTTATGTTTTGTTGTAGTTTTTGGGGGCGATGATAACGTTAAAAGTGCAGTATGGGGCGAAAAAAGTTTGACAACCACTGGTCTAGTACATGATTTACAGTACTTAAATTATTCTGTCTGTACTCATGACATTTTCAATGTTCTTTCAACGCTAATATTTCAATGTATTTACTATAATCCCTGCTGCAAATACCTGATGCTTTACATCACTTAAATGCGATTAGTGAAACGGGAATGAGATTGACTAATGACTGATAGACTTGCGAGTTGCGAATTTGCAAATAAACCGTTTTTAATCATATTGAGTTTTGATCATCCGGCCCAGTAATCCAGTCTATTATCCGCATCCGGCCCACTCAGGAAAGTAATTGCCACCCCTGGGTAACACGTACAAGCTATATCCATAAAAGAAATGGCAGGTCATAATTCTTTTCATGTGCGTTCAATTAGCTCGTTAGTGATCCCTTCCATCCTTGGCCAAGTAATGTTTCGAAAATGTCAATCTTCTACTCAGCCATGTATGGCGGATGGAGTGTTGAAATCGTGACCAAGAGTAGAACGTAAAATCAATCGTGAATTACGATGTAACAACGCACACTGTCTCGATCACAAATTGCGCCTATTATCATCGGAAATGATTACATTCGTTATATTTGTATTATTTTTTGCACTAATAATTAGGGCGTGACATTATCAAAATCCTCAGTAAACTGGTGAATTTGAAAATTCCGTAAATAAAATTGTGAATTACTGGTTACTGGGTAACATTTAGCTATAATTATCGCCGGGGTTTCGTTTTGTTAAAAAAAATACGTTAAAACAATACCCTCTATTAGACACAAAAGCACTCGAGTCCAATATTTTTAGCATTATGTCACATATGTGAAATATCCCTTAAGAAGTGCTGTTTATTAACGTCATCTCGTCTTATGACCACGCAAGAAATGCCTTTGATTTATCGTGACTCGTGAGTGACTAGATAATATTGAATGTCGCAAAATTCCGGGAAATGCCACGTGCTTTTAACATTCGTGGTTACAATAAAATGGCAGTTAATACGACCTATGTATTCAGTGAATCTGGTGATTTTGCAAATCTGTGACATGCTGCTAAAAGTTTCGTCTAATTAGAAAACGTGCACTTTTGTCACAATTCATTGATAGTCACATGACCACTTTCGTTCAAAGAAACGCACTGTGTAGTATTCCAACATCTGGTTTCAAAGACGCCGCCGAGCGTTTTTGCGGGAGATGCGGAATCGGTGTGTTTGTATAATAATCATGATATAAACAAGAATTTTGCCTTTAATGCAAAACCTTTATCTCCCATGTCTGCTCCACATACAGGGACGGACACTTTCCATAATTTTTGGGGGGCGACCTTGGATCGCCTACCGAAAAACACCGCGCCGTGTATCGTCACGTAACAATAACCTGTCGATGTCATTCTCTTAGTATTAGAATGTTATTTTGCTACTCATATATCGAGTACCTTGGATGCTTCGCTTAGACACGGAACTTGCGCATCACTGAACCAATTTCTTGAATTCCGCGAGAATTAGCCCACGGCTCTTACTAACAAACAGAAAATAACAAATTTGAGGAGTCGTATTAGGTTATTGTTTCAATTCATAGTTCTGCATAAAGCGCACTAACGCCGTTTCGTAAAATTAGAAATGCAAAATAAGGTAACAAGCTATTGTGCGAAATTGTTTCCTAAATTTTACCAAGGAATTATCATTTGACTTGTAGAATTGCCATTATTGCCGATTTATTAAATCATCATTTGAACTTGAAATAACATTCAGGATTCACGCAATGCCTTTGCAGGGTTTTTATTTATAAAAAGGTTTGTCTAAGTCGGAACTTCCCATTGTCGTCTGCAACAAGCACCGCGATTACACGCTCGTTAAAAGAGCCGCCTATATAAGCGTATAATGATTTTTCTGTCGCGTAAAATATTCAATCCATGACAGCCACGAGATTCTAAAATGTCCTTATATATTAATTTAATTGTGTACAACGTAACTCGCGGTTGCGACTTCTTACGTCGAAATAAAAATATTACTAAACTAAAGTACCACGGCGATATGTGGACATGAAAATATGAGGTAAGCTGCCTGATGTATTTAAATTTGATACGTATTTTTGCAATCTTCCGAACTCGTTATCGCCGTTACAAAAATCTCGATATCTGATATAAAATCCCATATAGTACAATTTTACTTCATACAATTGAAATATTTATGAAGTATACTAGAAAATCAAAAATACAAATTCACGGCCACTCCAAAACACCACGGACATAAAAATGTGTGGTAAACTGCCCGTTTATAACTTGTTTTGATCCGTATTTTTGCTATTTTGCGAATTCGATAAATTTGAGATGTAGGCTACCTGTAACACTGGCTCCGCTCAATCGCAATGTTGTCACTCCGATTATTTTTAAAGATGAAACCTTTCGAAAAATCCGTAAATTTTCTGTCAATTCTCACGTATAGTAACAACTATTGATCGAATATACTTTAAATATCTTATATATCATCACAAACCGGCAAAAAGGCGCGTTCTCGGCTTTGTTTAATGTTAACACGAAAATTTTCGACGTCAATTTAAAAGTAATAGATAAAAAGGCAAATCCCGCTCACAATTGACCGTGTTTCGATTTTAGTGACGAAATCTTTTTAAAGGTCAAGCAAACATAATTTGTGTCGTAGGGACACGAAATTTTGCGATTTTCGATGCCTAGAAAAGCGTTTTTAGACTGTCGCGGGCCTCGATTAAACTTATATTGTTTACAGTTTTATTTTTAGTATTTTATATTGCCGCTTTTCAACTTATGGATACTTAGTATTCTCGCCGGGTTCATAAGTCCGTGCTTGTACGAAAATAAAATAATTATCATAGTCATCGTGTCACAAATTTGTGGAAAATTTGTGATTTAGAGAGGATAAACGCCAACGTAAAGGCGTTTACGACCTAAATAATAGGTCACAAAACAATGATGAAAACAATCGGCGATTTTAGCAAAAGGCAATTGCACGCGTTATTGGCGACTTTTTCAGTTTTCTAAAAAATCCATAACGTGAAAAGATACGTCCAGCGGTGAAAATTGTTTATAACAACTTTAGATCTAGTTAATTTTTAGCGATAATAATTAATTGATGTAATGAGATACAGTTTGCCTCTTTTACTTCTCTCGCAAGTGTCAACAATAACACTATTGAAAGATTTTGACAATGAGAACCATATTTTAAATTGTACAAAAATGAATTAGTTGTGCAAAACCGTGGCGCGTGATCGGAGGTGCGTTTGAAGACGGAGTATTACCCGTGTGGGCGCGCATGTTTCACGAAAATGTGAGGGGCTCCGAAGGCGCCCTGGACCACATTATTGTAAGAAGACAGTTATAATATCGGTAACTATTAACCGTTCAATTGCGCTTGACTATCGCACTTTTCGAAAATGATAATTTTGTAAGAAACAACATATATTAAATTTTTTTGCGAAATTATTGGGGGGGGGGGGGGCGACCGCCCCCCAACCCGCTTCCGCTTCTTACTTTTCGCAAAAAAGTGCGCAAATAGTGAACACTGCTGGCAATCATTGTTCACCATTACCGCTCATTTTTGCGAAAACTGCAAGACACCTTTGCAGTAAGTTTTAGAGACTACGAAATCGCCATTTTTTTCTTGTTTGGATCGATACAGAATGTGATACAAAATTTTTGCTCAATTAACACAAATAACTTGAAAAGTATTTCTTTATTCATCATCTCATTGGGCAACATCGGGATTTCACAAAATTTTATGATCATATTGTCGGCCTTTGAAAATAACTTTTTTAATTCATGTTTATTTTATGTACTGTTTACTTATTTCAGTCTGCCATTATTAATTACTATAATTATGTTGGGTTTTCATTCATTTTATTAAATTCGATATTGTATAAAATGCTCAAACAAATGTACTCAAGTAATGAACTTGCTAAAAGAAAAGTCGAGTGAAAGTTCGTTTCTGTGAACTGGAGTGTGTTACAGAGTCTTAACCCCCGTTTTGGATTTTTTTAATTACGAGTGTTCTACCTTTTGCTTAGTAAAATAAAGTCATTTTACAGTCAGCTCAGTTAGAACTGTAATATGCACACATTTAAGAGTTTTTTGAATTTTTCAAACTCAGGACTTGATAATCATTATTAACAATACAAGCCAGGAGGCAGGGAAAAAATAATTTGATTTCATTAACATTAAAATACACCAATAGTTATACATTTCATGGACATCAAACCGATGCTACATGCCTTTGTTCATAACCGATTATATCGTGACTGGATGTCTGATATCTCAGAATCGTACTTTCAACATTAATTTCCAGGATTATATCGTTTATGTGGGCGCATAAGAAATAATGTTTTTTAGAAATGGATTGATACTTTGCAAACATTTTTTATACTGGGGCTGCGTGTCTGCAGCATTCCAAAGAGTGCTACGGCTTTCGTTGCCTCTTGGTAAATATCCGATACTTAAGATGGCTTATGAAACAATGAAGATCGAACAACGCGATATAGTTACCGCTGACTAATTCGAAATAGGGCAAAATATTCTCTGAAGACGTCTGACCAAAGAAAATTTTCCAACTAAATGATTTACAATTATTAAAATAGCGAAAACCATTGCCCAAATTCAAAATTGTATTTTTGGTGGTCGCAGATTGATTGTAGGGTATGTTTGATGACCTTCTTCATTATTACTACGCAACAACCATCAAAATGTATCTAGCAATTTACTTGAGATGACTAAGGGTGACTCCAACTGCGTAATTTTTTTTAATTTTTACAATGTCATAACTTGAATAGATTTCATCTGTGAATCTTATCTAAAACAGAAATAAAAAAATTTTAATTTTAGGAAAATGAAGAAAATATAGTTGGTTTTGTTTTGGTCACACACATGCATAGAAAAGTCCAGACAACTGTTTATTTTTTATTTTCACAATGTCTTAAGTTGAATAGATCTATTTTTATCTGTGAATCATATCTGATCTTAAGGATTCAATGCTTTCAACAGATGGTGTATTCGTTTCCAACACAGAGCCAAATCCAAACAAGTTGTGATATATCAGGAAACCTAGGGATAACATCAAATAACGGTTTTGATGGAAGAGGTTGTGAAATATGTGTCTGGGATCTAAGAGAAAGAAAGCTAGTATGGACCTTAAGGTTAGTTCATGAAATTTCATAATATTCATTACTGCCACATGGGTGAAGTTACAATCTGATGTACACAGCGGGGTATTAACAGGTTTGCCGCGGCCCACCCTTTGGGAATCGCTGTAGTAACTTGTAGCCTGAGGAACCAGACTATACCTTTCGCATATCCATTTGCACTTGACGTTTCAGCATATAGGCTAAATTTTTGCTTGAAGGATAAATATCAGCAATTCAATAATTGACATGGATTTTGAATACTCCTATACCACACATACATTTTTGCTGTTGATATACTTTTTAGGGGTCATACTGAAAGTGTAACGGATTGCAAGTTCCTCTCAGATAATTGTCATTTTGTTTCCTGTTCACATGATGGCACCGTGAAGTTATGGGATCTTCAAGAACACACTAACGGTTCAATGCAAATGATCTCGACGCTTCCTGTCAATTGTGGAAATTTGTTGTGTATAGCTCCACTTGGTAAATCCAATATACTTTGTGGCAGTTGTGATAATGGGATGTTGACTATCAGTATCGAAAATGACAAATTGTGCTTTGGTTGACCACATGTTTAGAAAGGAAGCTAATATTATATGAACATGGAGTTTTGAAAGATAAACCGTTTTGTTGCTTTTTTGCCATGCTGATAACGTTTTGAATAATGATGTCCCATCTTGTTAGGACAAGAATGATTAATATCAAATACCATCAAATTTTAAGCCAGTTTTATTCTGAATTAGGCATTCACAATTGAAGATGAATAACAGTTCAAAATTAAATGTCGATGGCCCCTGGCTTCGGCCTGTGATGCCTAATGGCTAGGGCTGGTAAGTGGTAATAGTTAATTGGTTAACCGATTTCAGATGGTTAACGGTTACGATTTATTTTTTAACTGTTAACTGACATTCTCATCTTTACAATGTACATTTTCTTCAAAATTGATTTCATCTCCTGTGGCGTTTGATACAAAAGAATGTCATTGACTGTATTGGTGACTGGTGAGTGTGAATGTGACAAATAATTGAAGTGGCAATATTGCTGACAATTTAGAATCAGTTTTCAGTCGAAATGTAGCGTTCTCGATTTTATTGCACAAGCGTCAATATAATGTCATCCAACAAGTGCACAGTTTTATGATATCTCAAAGTAGAATTTGTACATCGAAAACTGAAAATTTGTCACATAAATGACATTTAATAACGGAATGGGGTTTTACTAAAATACTCACATAGGTATGTCCAAAGCAGACTGCATTGCATATCTCTTGCAGCAGGGCGATCATGAAACTATCTCGATTCGTGAATAATTTCGAGCGATACCTGGAAAAGATCACGCGAAATTGCTTTATAACCAATTTGACGTAACAAGCTAAAATTATTACTTATTACGTCAAATGTCACGCAGCGGTTAGCTGGTTAATCTTACCCGGTTAACGATTGAAATGTTTTACCTGAAATTACCAGTCCTGCTAATGACAAATCCGGCCTTTGTGATGGTCATTCTTCAGCTTCCTGTCGCCAGCTGTTAGGAGATATTCATTTATTCAGGAACATGAGGTTATCCTGTGTAAGTTGTATTATGCTTAAGTATACCTAGTTGTATTATCTAGTAATATTGCACTTAATGGTGATGAATAATTCTGTCCGCCTATCGATTAAATTATTCTATAATGATATAAATGTATAATAATGAAGGCGGATCTTTTTTATGCGATGTCCTTTGATAAACCAGCTTGGGTAGTCTACAGATTTCTGGGACTGGTCCGACTGAACGAGCAAAACCGCGTATGTATGCGTTTCGCAGTCCATAAACCAGGTTGATGAAATGTATGCAAATATTTATTAACAATACGATCTCCAAAAGAATCAAGTTCAACTTGTGAGAAGTGAATTGTTGATGGATAAAAATGGCTCTGTGGCACAAACTGAAAGTTAGGGTCAAGTTTGTAAAAATTGTTCGGATGATCATTTAACGGCATGGGGGGGATTCTTTACAAATGAAGTTCATGAGCTAGAAATAGGTTAAAAAGGAGCCTGTAAAATATGTCGCTGTGTACCTCACGGCATCTTGATTCCCTTTGCACTGACGCTTTCAGTCGTAAAATAAATCAAAGTTTATTATTTAACAATGATGGGCGCATTTTATATAAGTGATTTGATATCGATTTGCCCCCTACCGCGTTTGAGATGTTATTACTAAAATTCAACCATTGTGGCAAAATATTTTAAAGTCCTACTCATCAAATGTCAACGACATGTACAACAAATTCTTGAGGAGCGTTACGGCTGGAGATCGCCGTTCTTGTCTTTATACACAAAAGTCGATCAAGTTCAAAAAAAAATTATTTACACGATTGTGACGGTCCTCTCCAACGCGGCAGAAAAATAGGTTTCACGGTAGTTAGTGGTGTATGTGACAGTTTCACCAGTATTGAATTCAATATTCCCAGGATCGTATTACCATAATACAGCGACACTGTTCAGAATAGCTAACTGGTTGCGTTCCATAAATTCTCATTGGCGGATTGGTAAGAATAAGCAGATTTTGTGACAATTTTCATTCATCCCACCTCTAGTTCGAAGAAGACAGTGAGGGAGGAACGCCACTGAAAGCCTACGTAATTTTTATTCTTTTTGTTATATATATTATTAGGCTTACCATACGTCCCACTTTTTAGCGTCTTATCCCGTCGTCTCGACAAGTCAGTCAAAAGTCCCGCTTTCTCAATTCTAATTGGTCCTGTTCGGACATTCACGTGAATGTAACATTGAGCAACGTCTTTTTGAAGTTGTTATCTACAGAAAAGCATGCTTAGGGAATAAGTAAATTCTCAATGCTTGAAAACGGCAGTTTATTTCATTATTCTTTATTCTATTTGCTGTACATAAAAAAATCTAAATTCGGATCATTTGTATCGTTAGCGTCTATTCCTTTCTATTTTTCGAACTGAACCCGATATTTAGACAGAGAATATGCGCATGAACTCTCTATGACAATATGGTCAATGAAGACGGCCGGGATGGCTTTAAATGTAGGCCTATGTAGTAAAATCGGAAATTGTAAAGTTATAGGATCACAGCTAAGGGTTCGTGTCTTTGGAGGCGTCCCGCTTTGAAGTCCAAAAAATACGGTAACTCTATATATTATTATAAGTGAGTTTATCCTGAAGTATGCGCACCAAGATGACTGGCAAAACAAAACAACATAATAAAGATTATAGGTACTCCTGAAGTATGCGCACCAAGATGCCGCATGTTTTGCCAGTTAATATTTAATATAAATTGCATAATAATAGTTCTATTTAAACGAGTGGACAGTTACTGGATATCTAATTACAGCTCGTGAAGTTAAGAAAGTTCGTTACTTGAAGGTGATTATATAGCCTATATTGAATAATGATTATAATGTCAAATATACACCATTTGTTTTAGAAACACCTGCCTGTGTTTTGTTTTGAGCTTGAAAAATAAAGTTATTCAAACAAATCAATTCTGTACATTCTAGTATTGCTCAATCAGAAAATTACCTGCTAAAACAGCTGATATATATAAAGTTAAACAATTTGCACATGTCCATATTCTTGACCACATTCTTGACTATTGCCGACCGCATTTGAATTTTGCGCTAAGCTTCCTTGTCCTGTATATATATAAGATAATTTTGAGTCGATCAAAAACATATAGGAGGAAATCTGATATTTGAAGAATGGAAGGAGAATGAAATGAGGATAAGATTGGTAAATATTGTCAGAAAAACCATATATATATATATATATATATATATGCTTAATCTGGTTAAAAATTCAGATTCAGCAAATACGATAGAAAAAGACAATTTGGCTGAATATCCAGAGACAGTTAGTTATGATTGAAAAGTTATTCAGCAGCCAAAACTTTTGGGCCCTAGAAAAAGTTATCAATGTATGACCACTCATGAATATAAAACACTGTAAGTTGGTCTCTAATTGACTGTTAATCTTTGCTAAAAGTGTCTTCAAAGGTCATCAATTTGATTGATTGATTGATATGGATTATTGCGATGAAAATTAAGCGGACAGGTTTGTTGAAGTTCGTGAACTCAAACGGAGCTAACGATGTTTGGCGATTCTGAGTATTTACCTATTTACTTTCGGAGTAGGCCTATTTACAAAAGTAGGCTACAATAAAAATCAGAGTGAGGATGGTATGATGGTGATCGACAAGGATTTTTTTATTTTTTTCAGGAACTGAATCTCACATTCTGACAAATCTTGAAGATACTTAAGTTATATTCTAATATGTAATATCCAGATGATTTCGAAGAATTTGTCGGTTTGGTGAATCTATACGATTTTCGCTGCCTAAACACACTTCTATAGGAAGTAGGCTTGCACGTAATTGACAAAAATCAATTCCGTAATTACGGCCAAATCGATTACGTAATGACCCCGTAATTGCGATATTTTTTCACACATTCAAACCTATCATAACAACCAATTGAATCCACTTCATTTTCGATTGGGACATCGAGTTTGGGTTTTCATATTCCTGGCAGTCCTACACGCCGGCGACAGATGTTAAGACAAGAGTGAATTCAAATTAATTTTAATCTGATTTTTATCTTTTGTGCTAGCTTTGATTTCCTTTATCACCTTCGCAAATTAACCGTCCCAATTTCATGCGATCAATTTTATCATTACCGACACTGGTATACGGATATTTATGAAACGATAGTTGACTTTTTCAAAATCGTATTAAAAAAAATGTCGGGTTTCCAATTTATCAATGCCACGACGAGCGTATTTTCTCGTTTGATTATACTTGCGCTTGCCTCGCGACGAAGACTTGTTATTGCACCGTTTTTAACATTATTCGACTTTACTACCTAGTCAGCATTTTATAATAGTTATTTTAATCATGCATTGTGGTAGAGAAATCCCTCTATTTAAATACGGGTAACTGTAAAAATAGAATAGGATTCTGGATTCTATTTAAGTATTCTAAAACAGTGGTTCCCAACCGCCGGTCCGCGGACCGTCAACGGTCCGCAAAGGATTTTTACCGGATCGCGGAAAATCCCGTCATATTGTTGTTTCTCTGCCGTCTCAATCGCTTTACCGATGCCGAAAAAACGAAGTTGCGTTGGTTTATTACGCAATTCCTCTTCCGTCGTCATATTGCTGATTTTTACCGGATCGCGGAAATCCCGTCATATTGTTGTTTCTCTGCCGTCTCAATCGCTTTACTGATGCCGAAAAGACGAAGTTGCGTTGGTTCATTACGCAATTTCTCTTCCGTCGTCATATTGTTGTTTAATAAGCGCGACATTAATTATTACGGTGACGTATTGGCAAGAGAGAGAAAAACGGCTGCAAATACCGAAGCTCTAACTTCTTCTACTTTTTAAACTTTCACTTTTTACAATTGACTGAATTGACTGCTTTGAAGAGAGCTTGTTTCAATCGCGAAAGCGCTCGGCCAATAATTACGACTTTACGTAATTCGTAACTTCCCTTCCGTAACTCGAAATAATTCCGTAATTCCGTAAATCTGTAAATTACGTGCAAGCCTAATAGGAAGCCATGATCCGCATTCCGCAGCTAACAATATTCTAAAAATGGTGTTGTGATGTCGCATTTATTGTTCATATCAATTAATGCTGTGCTTCCCAACCCCCGTTTCAGTTCGCGACCCACTTTTATTGTCATTTTTTCTATGAGACCCACAATGAAATGTTTATATATATATATGAGAAAAGGGCAATGTATCCGAATGCCATTTACCAAATGCAAAACTTGAGCTTGCGTATTGGATCTGTATTACCCGATCAAGTCGAGGCCTGAAAGGAGACAAAATCATGCGCAACGTAGATTTAAACATCCAATAAATTGTGCTTTTGTCTTAAAGTCCTTTTCATAACATAATAAGATCGGGCGCTCTGGAAGTATGTGCACCAAGATGGCGCACACCTAAACTCTAACCTGGTACACATACTATGTTCCGTTGTGTGCCATCTTGGTGCACATGCTTCAGGAACACCCAAGATCGCGAGGGACATAGCGGACATCCCTGTATTAGTAGGGACATAGCCTTTCCAGTAGGAAGATATCGGGATCGTGATTTTAGAAGGGACATAGACATTTTAGTGGGGACATAGTCATTTTAGTAGGAAATAGGAACACAACATGATCGTTTTAATGATCGTTCATTTTAATATAGACATCGCTGTTTTAGTAGGAAGAGAGAGAGAGATTGATTGTTTCGTCAACCAGAAAACAAGCAAAGGTACAATGAAGAATATATAAAAAATATGCAAGTTAATTTGGTATAGGCTGGAGGGAGCGATACGACCATAGAGTCATCAATGTCAGCTCTCCCCAAATTCACTATTAAGATTCACAGTTACAGAAACCATGTATCATCTGATCTGTTTGACACACAAAACATTTAGTTTTAATATATAACTTGATAATAAGACACAAATTCAAAGAGTTTGGGAGTTGATTCTTGAGAAAGGAAAGTATATGAACGCGAATTGTTGAATTCGGGCGTTGAAGCTTGAAAAATAAAAATACACGAGCGTGAACTCGGGCTTTAAACTTGGAGTCAGGAAGTTAATTCTGGTCCAGATATCTATTTTTGTGTCAAAATTCTGCTAATTGACATACTGCCGAGACTGAAGATTGATTGCTTGCTTGATTCCTTAAATGTTGAT